GAAATTGTGCAACAATGAATTTTTTTTCCAAGAAAAAAGTGAACTGAGGGGAGATGATAGGGAGGAAAATGTACTACAATGAATGAATGGAAATCCAAGTTCTCTATGAACTTTCATTAAAATGTCAATTTAAAAAATTTAAAAAGAGAATTTTGTTCTGTGATCCTGAGTGGCTTCAAATTATTAGCCTCCTCCCATGTATATATGTGTGTGTGTATAAATTTATCACTATCTCTTTCTCCTTGTCATTGAACTGGAACTGACTCATAGCTGATCCTCTGGTGAGTTTTGGAGCCTAAAAATCACATGGAAGGAGATGGATTTTAATGACCAGAGACTCCACCTTTTATGTAGCAGTGCAACTCTCTATGGACTACACCAGCAGAAATGTCCATCTCTAACTTGCTCTCACTATATGTCTATATATGTCTTTCTGTATGTATGTCTTATCTATCTATATATGAATCTATCCTCTGTTTATCTGTTGACATGATTGGTCACAAGCTATCCCTAGCATCTAAAACAGGAAGTAAATGGCTGAAGGTAGACTGGTACTTAAATTTATTGTTACTGTTATGTGCTGTTGAGTCACCTGTGACTCAGTGCCTTATGTACAATAGCTCTGAACACTGCCCTATCCTGAACGAATCTCACTGTCTCCAACACATCTGCCCCCATTACTGCGATCACTGTATCAATCCATCTCATCCAGAGACTTGCTTTCCTGCACTTTAATCTCTGTGCTGTATGTTGTTGTTGTTGTTGTTATGTGCCATTAACTCAGCTGCAACTTATTGTGACCCTATGTAAATCAGCTCTGAAATCTGCCCTATCCTGATCCAATCTCATCATCACTGACAGACCTAATTCCATTGCCCTAGTTGTTGTGTCAATCCATCGCATTTTGGACCTTCCTATCCTGCGCTGTCCATCCACCCTTACAAACAAGATGTTCCTCTCCAAGTACTGGTTCCTCCTGGCCACGTGCCAAAAGTATGTGAGATGATGGCCTCAAAATCTTTGCCTTCAGGGAGCAGCCTGGATTCACCCTCTCCGGGGCAGATCTGTTTGTTCTCCTAGCAATCATTTTAAGTGACAGGACAATATCCATACACATACAAGGAAGATTTGTTGATCAAATATCATTCAAATATATGCACCAACAGTCAGGGACAAAGAGGAGGAAATAGATTATTTCTACCAACTTTTGCAGTCAGAAATCAATTGAACACGTAGTCAATACGCTTTGATAATAATGGGTGATGGGAATGCAAAAATTAGGAAGAAGAAAGAAGAATCTGTCATTGGAAAGTATGTACTTGGTGACAGAAGTGAGGCTGGATGACAGAATTCTGTACAATCTATTCATTGAATTCAATTTTTCCAAGCTTTTCATTGCAAACACCTTTTGTAAGAAATATAAACTGCAACTATATACATGGACTTCACCTAATGGTCTACAAACGAATCAGATTTGACTACATCTGTGGAAGAAATCACTGGAGAAGCTCAAAATCAGCTCTGAGAACTAGACCAGGTACTGATTGTGGAACAGACCATATGCAAATTCTAAAGGAGCTAAAGAAAACCAAATCCAATCCACAAGAACCAAAGTTTGACCCGAAGCCTATGCCACAAGAATTTAAAAACCATTTCAGGGACAGATTTAAAGTCTTGAGCACTAATGAGTGAAAAAGAGATGAGCTGTGGGAGGATATAAGAAATATCAGTCATGAAGAAGGCAAAAAGTTCCAAGATGGATGTCAGAAGAGACAGTATTGCACTGTGTTCTGTAGAGACAGTTTTCACCGAATATTGCTATTTTTAAAACTCAAATGCATAATGAATGCTTGCAAAAATGTGATGTATGTGTGTGATACTATGTAAATATCTTTATATTATAATTGCTGTTATGTACTGTTGAATCGGAACTAACTCATTCATAGCTGACCCTTCAATGGGGGTTTCCTGAGGCAGTAAATTGCATGGGGGGAGATTGCCTATCTTTCTCTCTCAGAATAATTGATAGATTCTAACTGAATGCTTTTGTGCTAGCAGAATGACTCCTTACCACTAGGCCATCAAAGTTTTCTATTATAGCGTATCTTCTGTAGTACAGGATATATACATCAAAATAACATTTTAACATACTTTGCTGTTGTTGTTATGGTCTGTCAAGTTAACTGTGATTCAGTGACCTTATGAATAATGACTCTGAACCTTTCCCTATTCTGAGCCAACCTCACCATCTCCAGCACATTTGATTCCACTGCTACAGTCACTGGGTCAATCTATCTCATCAATGGTCTTCCTCTCTTGCTCTGACCTTCTTCTACTTTTGTAAAAACAAAACAAAACAAAATAACCTATTCAATTATGAGCCTTCATCCTGTTTCCAAGACTGTAAATCTTAGTAAGAGAATAGGCAAAATCTTAATAAGATCATCTTTCTCTTAGAGAATGACTGGCAAATTTGAAATATATATTCTAACAAGTCTAACCTCATATGTAACTCTTTTTTTAATTATTAAATTTTATTAGTTTTAATGAACATTTACAGGTATTTTGGGTTTTCATTCCTTCATTGCTACACCATTCTCTCTACCCTCCTCCCCAGTTTGTTCTTCTTCCCCCGCCATTCTGAATGTCTGTTTTAATTGTCCAGTTGCCACAGTGCTTGTCAAAGTCAGTTCTGATTAATCTCCTTTGTCAGTGTGTCCTTTGCCATTCCCTATCACTCCTCCCTGAGAGAGACTTCACCCTGATTCATAAGGAAAAGGGGATGGCATATTCCCTTAGCTACTTCCTGCTGAAAAGGGACGCTGTTGGTTTCAGGGTGAAGATCTTCTCTCACTACTCTCTACTCTTTGACAGTAGGAAACACATAGACTATTATGGAGATTGATTTTGGAATTTAGATGCACTGTTATTAATTGTGCTTAGCCGTACATGTTCATATCCTTGAAGATGTATCATGGGGGTTTTGCAACCTAGAAGACACAAATTTAACTAACAAGTTATAAGTACATGAGTCAAAAATTATGGAAAAGTAAAAGAAGAGATTCTTTCATTGTTTTACAAACCCTCCCCCAGGTCCCCTCCACCATGCAGCCCTCGCTCTAGACTCCTGTAATGACAGAAATACCTAGTCACATATCTCTTTTAAACAGTTTTCTCCCTCCTCTGTTTCAGTGCAGTATACATTATTGAACCCATCTTACTCAGTCTCTCCCCAACCCCGAGGTTAGTCCCATTCTACAACAGTGGCATCATGTAATATTTGTCCTTTTGTAACTGGGATATTTCACTCAGCATAATGTTCTCCAGAGTCAACCATTTTGAATAATATTGCATGAGTTCCTTGTTTTTCAATGCAGCATAGTATTCCATTGTGCGAATATACCATAGCTTCTCTAGCCATTTGTTTGTTGATGGGCACTTAGGTTGTTTCCAACTCCTTGCTATTGTGAACAAAGCTGTAATAAACATGGGTGTGCATATATCTGCTTGGATGTCATAACCCTTTTTTTAACTGGGTCTTAAGCCCGTTATTATAAACTACATAAGGTCTCTGGGTCGATTAACACTCAACTGCTTAACTAAGGCTTGGCAGTTCGAAGCCACCTAATAGTACGACAGAAGAAAGCCCTGGTGATATGTTTTTACAAAGATTACAGTCAAGAAAACCCTATGAAACAATTCTACTCTGTACATGAGGTTATTCTGTGCTGTAACCAACTTGATGGCAACAAATTGGAGATTTTGTATTTTACTTTTCTGTATAATTGTAATGGTAATCGAGAACATTTGATTGTGCTTATGCAAAAACTGTACTTGGACCAGGAGACAGTCATCAGAACAGAACAAGGAGATACTGCATTGTTCAAAATCAGGAAGGGTGTATGCCAGGGATGTATTCTGTCTCCATACCTTTTCAATCTATATGCAGAACAGATCATCAGGAGGCTGGGCTGTACGAGGAGGAATGCAGCATTAGGATTGGAGGAAGATTCATTAACAACCTGTGTTATACAGATGACACAACCCTGCTTCCTGAAACTAAGGAGGACCTGAAGCACATACTGCAGAAGACCAAGGACTGCAGCCTTCAATATGGATTGAGGAACAGCATAAAGAAGGCAAAAATTCTCATCATTGGGCCGATTGGCAGCATTATGGTAGATGATGGAGAGATTGAGATTGTTAAAAGCTTTAGTTTGCTGGGCTCCACAATCAAAATTCTAAGGACCAGCAGCCAGGAAATTAAAAGACATATTGCATTGGGAAAGTCTGCTGTAAGAGACCTCTCCAGAGTACTGTGACATCAGTCTGAATACTAATGTGTGCCTGATACAGGCCATAGTCTTCTCAGTTGCATGCTATGTGTCAGAAAGCTAGACAACAAGTAGGGATGATAGAAGGAGAATTGATGCCTTTGAGCTGTGGTGCTGGAGAAGAGTGTTGAATATACCATGGACTGCCAGGAGAACAAACAGTTTTGTCCTAGAGAGGGTGAAACAAGGCTGCACCTTGGAGGCAAGGATTGTGAGGCTTCGTCCGACATACTTTGGCCATGTTGCAAGGAGGGACTGGTCCTTGGAGAGGGACATCATGCTTGGAAGGGTTGAGGGATGGAGAAAGAGAAGGAGACCATCAATGAGATGCATTGATACAGTGACTGGGGTAATGAGAGTAGGTGTGTCCAAGACAGTAAAGTTAGCACAGGATAGAGCAGGTTTCAGGGCTGTTGTACATAGGGTTGCTATGAGTCACAAATGACTTAACAGCACATAACAACAACATATCATGTAATGCACCTTATAGATCAAATAAGAAAAGGAAAAAGTGTGAATTTAGAATAAGATTAATTTGTTATTTTGACCTAGTAAAAGTTCACAATTCCTCTCTCTCTCTTTCCTAATTTCAGGTTTTGGTTCTATCTCAAGTTACATCACAACTTGGCTATAAAGATATCTTATATGCATCAAAATCACTAAAAGATGGTCCGCATTTTGGGTTCAGCAACATATATTCACATCCTGAAAATCTTTTGCTTGGTTGGATGAATGGAAATTATGAGAATACTCGGGAGATTGTGTGGGGAAATAGTCACTTAGGTAAGAAATTTTCTTTAAGTAATCCATTACAAGTTTAGCATTATAAGGCAAAAAGCACCTTGACAAAAGACTAAAGAAAATAATCTATGGACTGAATACTTATCTGTAATGTTTATTGTCTGTTCTGCAAACAGAAGATCCTTAGGATGTTTGGTATCAGTGTCTTCACATGTAACAATAAATAATAAAAGATGCTCATTCAATTAATTTGAAAATATATGGTAAATAAGATGTGTCTATGTCCTAGAAATTAAGGAAAGCCATATTATGACTGAAGGAGATTTTGTGGCCTAGTGGTAAGAAACTGTGATGCAATTCCAAAGGGATGTGGTTCAAATCTACCAGCTGCTCTGCTGGAGAAAAATGAACAGTCTCCTCCCATGCGATTTACTGTCTCTGAAAACCTGCAGGCGGGTCAGCTATAGGTCAGTTCCAACTCAATGGTACACAACAATGATTGTTGGCATTTTTGACTGTACAAATTCATAGATATAGGAAACACTGTGCATACTTTATGAATAATTGATAGCAAGTTAAAATATGACTAAAAAAGGAACCTAATTGTGAAACTCTTAAGGATGAGGTCTGATACATTTAAGTCCATAGAGCAGGACAATTTGGTGTTCACAAGTAGACTAATGTCAGTATTTAGGTGAGTCTCCCTGATTCTTCTTTCTTTGAAGAATGAGGTTCTACTCTAAGAACATAGGCCTTTTTTTGGTAATACGGTCGTGGTACTAGGGATATTGTTGCTGATGTTAGATGGATGTTGGCTGAAAGCAGAGAATACCAGAAGAATGTCTATCTGTGTTTCATTGATTATGCAAAGGCATTTGACTGTGTGGATCATAACAAACTGTGGCTGACTCTGAGAAGAATGGGAATCCCAGAACATTTAATTGTGCTAATTCGAAACCTATACTTGGACCAAGAGGCAGTCGTCAGAACAGAGCAGGGTAACACTGCACGGTTCAAATTTGGGAAGGGTGTATGCCAGGGATGCATCCTGTCTCCATACCATTTCAACATGTATACAGAGCAGATTATCCAAGAAGCTGGGCTCTATGAGGAGAATTGTGGCATCAGGATTGGTGGAAGATCTATTAACAATCTGCGTTATGCAGATGACACAAACCTGCTTGCTGAAACTGAGGAGGACCTCGTGCACTTGCTGCCAAGGGTCAAGGACTGCAGCCTTCAGTATGGACTGAGGCTCAATGTCAAGAAGACAAAGATTCTCACCACTGGACCAATTGGCAGTGTCAGGATGGGTGGCGAAGAGATTGAGATTGTTCACAGCTTCAGTTTGCTCAGCTCCACAGTCGACACTCTTGGCACCAGCAGTCAGGAAATCAAAAAGCGTATCGCGATGGGAAAGTCTGCTGTTAGGGACCTTTCTAAAGTACTCAGGAACAACAGTGTCTCTCTGGAGACTAAGGTGCGCCTGATACAGGCCATGGTATTTGCAATCGCTTGTTATGCATCAGAGAGTTGGACAATGACTAGGGAGGACAGAAGGAGAATGGATGCTTTTGAGCTGTGGTGCTGGAGAAGAGTACCCAATGTACCATGAACTGCCAGGAAAACAAACAGATTCATCCTAGAGAGGATTAAACCAAGCTACTCCTTGGAGGCAAGGATTCTGGGGCTTTGTCTGACATACTTTGGACATGTTGCCAGGAGGGACGGGTCCTTGGAGAGGGACATCATGCTTGGGAGGGTGGAGGGACGGTGCAGGAGGGGAAGACCCTCTATGAGATGGATTGACTCAGTGACTGGGGTAATCAGGATGGGTGTGTCAGAGGCAGTGCGGTTGGCACAGGATAGAGCAGGGTTTAGGGCTGTTGTGCATAGGGTCGCTATGAGTTGCAAATGACTCAACGGCACATAACAACAACAACAACAACAATAAATAGAACAACAGAGAACTGCCAGAAGTGCAGGAGGCTGGGTTTAGAAGGGGTTTAGTACTAGGGATATTATAGCTAATGTTAGACGGATCTTGGCTGAAAGCAGGGAATACCAGAGGAATGTCTATCTGTGTTTCATTGATTATGCAAAGGCATTTGACTGCGTGGATCATCACAAACTGTGGCTGACACTGAGAAGAGTGGGAATTACAGAACATTTGATAGTGCTATTGCACAACCTATACTTGCACCAAGAGGCAGTCATCAGAACAGAGTAAGGAAGCACTGCATGTTTCAAAATTGGGAAGGGTGTATGCCAGGGATGTGTCCTGTCTCCATACCTTTTCAATCTATATGCAGAACAGATTATCTGGGAGGCTGGGCTCTATGAGGAGAAGTGTGGCATCAGGATTGGAGGAAGATTCATCAACACTCTGCATTATGCAGATGAAACATCCTTGCTTTCTGAAACTGAGGAGGACCTGAAGCACTTGCTGGGGAAGGTCAGGGGCTGCAGCCTTCAATATGGATTGAGCCAAGAGAACAAAGATTCTCACCACTGGGCAGCATCAGGATCGATGGTGAAGAGATTGACTGTTAACAGCTTAATTTTCTTGGCTCCATAGTCAACACTCTTGGCACCAGCAGCCAGGAAATGAAAAGATGTATTATAATGGGAAAGTCTGCTGTTAGGGACCTCTCCAAAGTACTGAAGAGCAATGTTACCACTCTGGAGACTAAGCTGTACCTGATACAGGCCATGGTCTTTGTAATCACTTGCTATGTGTCAGAGAACTAGGGAGGATCGAAGGAGAATAATTGATGCCTTTGAGCTGTGGTGTTGGAGAAGAATATTGAATATACCACGGACTGCTCGGAAAACAAACAGACTTGGCCTAGAGAGGGTTAAACTAGGCTGCTTGTTGGAGGCAAGGATTCTGAAGCTTCATCTGACTTACCTTGAACATGTTGCAAGAAGTGATCAATTTTTGGAAAAGGACATCATGCTTGGGAGGGTGGAGGGAGGGACAGCACAGGAGAGAAAGACAATGAAGTAGATTGATTGATTCAATGACTGAAGTAATCAGGGTAGGCATGTCGAAGACAGTGAGATTGGCACAGTATAAAGTAGGCTTCAGGGCTATTGTACATAGGGTCACTATGAGTTGCAGATGACTCAACGGACAACAACAACATCAATAAATGAATATTTGTGTAGTTTCCATTTTCGGCTACAGCAAATAAAAATACTATGAGCCTTTGTACATTAAACTTTACATGGACACGTTTCCATTTTTCTGAGGTAAATGCTTAAAAATAGAAATGTTTTGTAGACATAAGCTTTCTTTTTTTTTATTTAGTGTATCTGAATGGTTACGATAACTGTATGTTTATCTGACTTTTAATGGACTTTCAAATTCTTTTCAAATGAAGAAGGATAAGAAACAAAATTAAGAGACAAGGTGGTGAAGGAAATAGCAGTATACAGTAAAGATTTCCTTGTTGTTATATCCTGGCAGGTCACTTGCTGCATAGTGACTTTATTTACAACAGTTTTGAACTCTGCTCTGTCCTGAGCCAACCTCATTGTCTCTGACACACATTACCCCAGTCACTGAGTCAATCCATCCAGATCATCCAGTATCTTGCATCAGTAAATCAATGGTAATAAATGCTTATGAATGACTGTCTGAATAAGCCCATGTGATTTGTAATCTTTCACCCAGAAAAAATAGGTTTAAAGAAAAACAAACAAAATTTGCTGTTCAAAGAGTCTGCATCATTTTACATTCCCAGTTTCTAAAAATCCTTGCCAATGTTTGTTACTGACACTTGTTATTGTCTGTGTTTTATTATTATTCTAGTGAATATGAAATAAAATTTCTCTCTGGTTTTATTTGCTTTTCCATGACAAAGGGAGTGCTGGTGGTAAACTCCACAGGGTGTTGTGATACTAATCCAATCGTGGAGTCTCTCTGGTAATTTGAGTCCACCAGCAGCTCTGGGGAAGCAAGATGGGCAATCTCTTCCTGTGCAATTTACAGTCTTAGAAACCCTTATTTGGAGGATCAGCTATCAATTGCAATGAGAGAGAACAACTGATAATTGAGGGTAATTGTTGAAGTTTCACTTTCCATGCTGGAGATACTGGCTCACCTGTTGGCCAATGTGCCTCACTGTACAGTTACTATTCATCTGTCAATGGAAGCGTACCTGTTGCTCTGATACTAAACAATTTTCAAAGGATGCACTGCTAACCCAAAGGTGTGAATCCACTTACTCTTCAGGAGTAAGGTGAACAGTCTACTCCATGTGATTTATCGTCTCTGAAAATCCACTGGAGGGTCAGCTATTAGTTGATTCAACTCAATGGCAACGAGTTGAACTATGTTTATTAAGATAAACTAGGAAGAAAGACCCTGTCAATGTATTTCCAAAAATAAGCTAAAGAAAATTGTATGCATAGACTGATCTGTTACAGACTGTGATCCTTAGTCTTTCTTCCACTATGGATAAACTCTTCACCTTCATCACTCAATTTTTAGCTAAACAATAGAAAAGCCTATTAGGTGACCAGTAACACCAGGGAAGCACTCACTTCTAAGAATACTCGACTGTATAAAGTTAAAAGACCAGCTTTTCCCAAGGGTCAAGCCCAGAAGGCAGCAAGGGGTAGGACAGAAGGATTAACAGAAATGAGAATTACAGTAGGAAGTGGTAAATGTGTTATTACATTGTGGTTATTATAATTACGTTGTGGTAATTATAATTGATTTTATAAGACAAAACATGCACCACTAAGTAGAAAACCAATTTGCACTGAAAACTTTTACTCAAATCACAATAATAATGAAAAATTTTTAAAATCTATAAATAACAATGTTCTGATTTGTAGCTAATTATTGGGAGAGTTCAAGACTAAGCACTGTGTCATACTACTGTGGAAGATCAGGCATTTGGAAGTAAAACTAAATCAATCTTTGAGATAAACATATAGCTAAGAAATAATTTGTTGCCAAATTGTAACTGACCTTGAATTGGTTTTCTGAGATTATAAATCATACAGGAGATTGAACTCCCAGCAAGTCT